GTCAATTTCGTTTTGCAGATGAATATTCACTTCAACAGTTTTCTTTTTACATGGTTGCTAACACATTAAGGAGATTTTCACGTACTCTGTAGTACACGGTCTTTAGTTCTGAGTCCTTCCATCCGAGCGTATAGTGAAAGTATCGACTATCAGTCTGTGAGTCTTGTCTGTGAGTATGGCATGTGAATAATGAAATTTTCGATGCATAGGAAGTTAATACTTTCACAGTTGATGCTTGTGACTCCTCTGCGTATTTTGTTCTCTCAGCGATAGGCTTGATTTCCTAGCGAGAGGCGGCGAAATTTATTGCTCTCGTTGAAATTAATTGAAGAGTAAGCGGTTCACGCTTGCAACTTACCACATCACTTAGAACCAAGAAATCCGTCGTTCCAGCTCATTACTGTGCTACATTCATACTCCAGTCTGTATGGGTTGCATTTTGAAACGTTCGTTCCTCAACTGGCAAAGGTCGGTTCGATTATCTTTACCGTGCGACCATCTGCTACAAACTCGGCGTATTGGCCATATGACAGCTGTTGTTTCTGGGAAGGGGACGCTTCACCTACGGAATTGGTAGTCGTTTTGACTGCTAAACCACAGCAGATTTCATTGTGCCAGTGTGAATATTCTCTTGTTTCTTAGAGTAAACCGTGTGGCCATTTCTGTGAACGAATGACAAAGTGGATTCTGGTTTGTCGCGTAATGTCAAGCTGGCGAAGCTGAATGTCGCTGACATTCGTGTCACCTGAGAGTGATAAAAGCACTTTCTGTGAAGTCAGCTGGTTGAACCAAATCAGCTTCTGGATGTTGACGCGCTAAAACATGTCAAAGCGACGTGATCAGTGTTCTAGAAAAATTAGAGAGCTTTTTTGATATACCCTTAGTGCCAAGTGGATAAGTGACCACATCGATGAAACTTGCAGACTTCGAACAAGGTGTCCGTTTCACGGCGTAAAGCACAGTTTTGAAAAGGTAGAATACCAGTCTGCTTCAGGTATACGAGAGTACTTTAGGGTGCCGAGGAACCAGGCTAAAGGTGAGTACCTGCAGCACTCGCATAGGAAGTTCATCGTTGACTTGTTCGTGCAGTAAGCCTGTGGTAGAGTCATGACAGTGAAGTGTGGCTGGAGGAAGAAAATCAGACGACTGATAACGTAGCCTAAATGCTTGACTGGTGCTCTGTTTGTACTTATGGGAACTCTGTCTTTTCTTATCTTGGATTCCATTGTACTCCATTACCAAATCAGACAAAATGTCAAGAAAATAGGTTGATCATTTTCAGTATCTCATCAACAACTGTTCTCCAGATTCGTCTTTTTGCTGCCGACGCTGGATGTTGTGCATCTTTCTAAGCAACAGAGCGAAGAAGGCATGTGAGGTGGATCGAGTTCTTTAGGAGAATTAAATATGGAACAACAGAAATGGTAGAAAACCTTATTTCGTCAAATGCTGAACTGAGAACTTTTCCCCGGGAGAATGGAAGTTTACAGTAATTGTCCCTATATTTGAAGTGGAATGGGCGACGAATGTTCTGACTACCATGGTATCTCATTTTTGCCAACTACGGGAAAATGCTTCTTAATTACTTTGGAAGGACCCGAGGCATACAATTGACGGGTGACTTTGCCCAAATCAGGATCGCTTCCGAATGGTTTACTACTACTGCGACCAAATTTTCACTCTTCTAGGATCATTAGACAATGTTGTTGATTATAATTTCCTACTTTGTGACTTTGTTTGATTCAGTACATAATTTAACAGTGTGGAAAATCTTGAAATGTCTGTGCATAACTAGCACATCGTTTCAAGTTTGGAAGAGATGTATGCAACTTTGCCTTTGCCGGTCCCACGGATGGATGAGAAGGATGAGGATTTGGGATTGTGGCGATGTTTTCGTAAAACTTAACTTCTTTCCCTCATCGTATTGCAGTTCTCAAACGTTGTGCTGGCTCGGTCGCCGACCAGCTTACCAACGGCTGCGCAGGCTGTTAGAGAATGGAGGCAGGCTACGAAAAGTAGACGTTCAGTACTACTTCACGCTTTCTGACAGTTGGGAACGTAGTAGCACGTTGACGCTGCCGAAGATTGACTCGAAGATCACGAAAATACCTGTCAATGACAGAGTTGCTAGCCCTGCTGAACGGAGATAGATAGCGCGGTGCTATTATAGCACGTCAGATACGGTTCCGCAAGAATATCTACAATGGGAACTCACAATCGGAAACTGGAACTTGTCCTCGCTCAGAGGGAAAGAACAAAGGCTAGTTGACGAGGCCATCAGGTGCCGACTGAAGATGGGCTCTCCTCAGCGAAACGCAGGGACTATGGAATTCTGAAACTCTGCGGCTGAAAGCTACTCTACTCAGGTATTGACTCCACAATCTGCTCTTAGGCCACTTTTGGCGTTCTGATAGAACCCAAAGTGGCTGACAAAATCATTGAATGGAGGCATGATTGCAGTATCCCTGTTAAAGAAGGGAGACCATAAGGATTGCTGCAGTTATTACCTCTTACCTTC